CGATGTGACAGCCATGCTCTCTAGTGCGCTGGAGTTCCTTTCTAAAGCAGGAAATTCTTTATTCTGTGGCTCTGGTTTCTCTTGCTGGCAATAGCAGGTTCTTGTACTGTATTTCTTAAATGTTGGAGAAAGTTTGCAATGTATTTTCTTTTATGGCAGCCTTTGGAATTAAGATCCTTGTTCTGGTGCATGCTTGACATAGTGAGCAGTTTGTCCTATACTGCAATAGCATGTGCATTGGTAGTTTCAATTCCTTGGTCATAGGAAGAGAAACTTTCACTTGTTAAAAAGGGAAATTTAGCCCCTAAAATGACAGTTACTTTAACAATTCTGTACCAAGTGGAAGAACGACTTTAAAAAGGCAAGAGAAGGCCATGCAGAAAAAGAATAATTGATTTCCTAAGGACAGTGCCCCAAATAGGTCAAATGCTGAATGTGAGATGAGATCTCACCTCTGAAGTGGGTTCCGGTCCAGGCGCCAAAGCTGCTCTCATCTCGTGAGGAGGAAACAATTCTGAAAGTCTTGTAATAATATTGATTTTAAAAAATTATCTCTTGAAGGTCTTTTCTTAGTATAGGAAGTCAGAACTTTTCATATTTATAGAAAATGTCAAATGTAACATGAATTTAAGACCATCTGAGGATATTTGGGAAGCACATGAAAAAATGTTACTTACTGGAATGTAATTGTAATTCTAGAATCTTCCATGTGAGCTTAGTTGTGATACAGACAAGCAAAGACTGATTCAGCCCAGTGTGTTTGAGATGCTTAAGTAATTGGATTTGTCAATATTATCTTTTGTAGGTAGAAAATATTTGTCAATATTGCCTTTTGTAGGTAGAAAATTTACATCTTTCAGTCAATTTTTCAGATGAATTCTGGGAGCCAGGTCCTCTAGTAAGGACTCAGTGTTCTGTTGGGTTAGTCCATTTGTTACAATAGTTAATTCTGTTACTTTGAAATCAGTGCAGTGGAAATGGCAGCAAATGTTGCTTGAAGAAAGCAGAAGCCTCTCTCTGGAAGAGTTGCCATGACCTGGGTGCATTAATACTGAATTTTGCACAGCCCACCAGCTTGGGGGGTTGTTTAGTGCTGCACCATGGCCTGCAGTTTGGGTTTCAGACACTGACTGTGGGTATATAAACATCATCTCAAACTTACTCTGTGTCTGAGGAAGGAAAGGCTTTTCAAAAATGTCAAACCCATTCATTTCCTGTTGTCACAGGACCAAAATCTCACCACTGTGCTTGTCAGGCCTAAACCAAAGGCCAAGTTTACATAGTCTTTTGCTATGCAAAACAGGGCAATTTACTTATTAACCTGGGACATAAATTACACACACACTCAGTGTGTGTTTAGAGAGAGTTTCTGCTCACACTGATTTGCATTCCCAAAGCATTGCACAACAAAAAAGCCAAGAGACTGGAAGCACAGGCTGGGTCTGCTGTCACCTGCAGTGGCCTCCATCTGATGGCATGGAAGGCTTCAAACACTCACTTCTAATGAGGGGTTTCTTTGTGCAGCTTCTCCCTGGTCCTTTCCTGTTTGCTTGCTCACAAACACAGATTGAGAGAATCCTGAAGAAAATGGAAAACGATGCAGAGTTTTACTAGAAACATAAGTAAACAATTGCTCTCATTTTCTGCTAAGCAGAAGTCTGCCATAACTTATTTACAGTTTCAGGTTAATTTCTTTCCATCAGTATTGTATGATGTTGTTTTGATGGTTGAACATCAATAACAGACATTTTTCAAGTAAAACACAAAGATATTTTTTTCCATGTTCAGTTAGTATAATCCAGAAACCTTACATAATACTCCTTTAAAAACCCAAGCTCAGGTTTATTTATGTTCAGGTTTAAAGGTCATGGGTATGTAATTCAATGGTTATAGTACCATGTAATTTTTGCTTTTGCATTCTTTCCTGTATCTCTACCTTAATGGGAGAGTCAAGGTTGTTAGGATGACACATGTTGCCACACCTGGCAAAGATTTGAATTCTTCTTCACCTCTTTCCATTTGATTTATAAACTAGAACCAGCATTAAAGCTATTTATTGTGTTGATTATGCTGTTTGATTATATTTTTTAATATTCAAATACCACTTAGACATTATATAGCAAGACAGTAATTGTGATACAGCCAGGCATCTAATTCAACTTAAATAAAAGAATCTTATGTCAGAAGGAATTATTAAATAATATACTTTATGTGGGTTTAATAAGTCCTTTTTGATTATCCTTAAAAGCAAAACATCAGAAATAGCTGAAAAAGACCTTCATGGTTTAAGGGGAGATGGACTAAAGACTTCA